CGACTCAAAGCACGTGTCGGCAACCGAAAAGCTGGCAACTCTTTTGTACATGCTAATCACGGGTCTATCGAACCGAAAATTACAAGACAGGCTTCAAAGATCGGTGTCAACAATCTCAATAACGACCAACCAGTTGATAAAAGATATCGCAATGAACCGCAGTATGGTTCGAAAGTTTATAACCCTCCCCGACGCCAATGCCGAAACCCCAGAAGAAATCCAGTTGAACCCGAAATTGTCCCCCTATTTTGATGAGTGCATTGGGGCGGTTGATGGCAGTCACATCCCGGTGTTTGTTCCTGATCAGTCTCGGTTTATCAACCGTAAGGGTTATCCTTCCCAGAACATCTTGGCTGTTTGTAACTTCAACATGGAGTTTACTTATGTTATGCCAGGATGGGAGGATCTGGGATGCCGCACAAAGTCTTTCTTTGAAGATCCCTGAAGGAAAATGGTTGTTGGGTGATGCTGGTTTCCCCTTAAGCGATACTTGCTTGATACCTTATCGTGCCACAAAGTATCACTTGAAGGACTGGGATGTTGTTGGTGGAGCCAAGTGAGAACTTTTACCCCAAATCATCTTGACTTTGACTGAATCGGTTGTTCTTTTGTTTGGATAGGCCTCAAAATCATCAAGAGCTCTTCAATTTGAGGCATTCAAGTGCCCGGAACGTTATTGAACGTATATTTGGGGTCATCAAGAGTCGATTCAAGGTCATCGCACATGGCTGCAAATACCCAATTGCTATCCAAGTGAAGGTTATCATTGTCATGACCTTCTTTCACAACTTCATTCGAATTACGGACCCTGCAGACCGAACCCGACTCTCTGATACCTTGCTGAGCGATATTGGTCAGCCCGACACAGTCGAATATGGACAGCTACATGACTCTGGGATCAGCAGAGCTGAGTCAACTCGGGCTCATAAGAGGAGAGACGATATTGCCCTGAAGATGTGGGCTGACTATCAGAAGGTCCTGAGGCATTGGCAAAGGCATGGACTTGCCAATACCTCTGCTTAATCAATTACGATTTCTTGTTTCATTTTTTGTTCAGGTGCTACTTAGTCATATGAAAAACAGTAGAGAGAGTGACAGTTACCCATGACCGTTTGATAAAGCTATGTAGGGTGACTTGGGCATATGAAATAAAGAAGCAAGACAGATGACTATGTTTGATAGGTATGCCTATACTAAAAACCAAGAACCATGATAGCTTATTCTGAGTATATATAAGGGAACAAGATTGATTTGAGATAAGCGCCACATTGAGTTGAGATAAGCCAGCCAAGGTGACGATATAATATGTACCTACCAGCCCAGCTTCATTCGGAGCCAAGTCGGGCGGAGGGCATCAGTCAGAGAAACATACACCTCGGCGTGGTTGTCCTGTCCAAGGAAATCAATCGCTTGAAATATTCTTGCTTCTTCCAAGCCCTCTTCCTTCTGGACCATCTCTACTGCTCGCATGTGAACCGATGGAGGTGGAGCTGATGGAGTGAAAACTAAAGGGGGGATTGGGGCATGCATCGACTGGGCCAAACTCGAGCTCATTGATCAAAGCTCACCCATGATTGCATCAGGTGACATTGCTGAGCCGCGCTTGCGCTTGGCAGCTGATGGAGTAGACTTAGGCGGCGCAGGTGTGTTTTCGGTATCCTCCTCAGCCTCATCTTCTTCGTCTAGATCTTCATGCGGGACGTCTCTTGGATTGCTAGCAAGCTCGTTAGAATCCATCCAGTTCCGTTCCGGATTGTCGTCGTCCTCAGTCGTCTCCATGAGCTCCCCATTGGCTGTGTTCCCCTCGATCAACCCCGCAAGCTCGTGAAACAAAGGGAACGATTTAAACTGCCAACGGCAAAGTTCACGGCCGGAAGCACT